TATCATACATTTAGTAATTATATTACTAGTATATATAATTGTACTTAATATACATTTTGTTAGTAGAGGAAAGTCCTCTATTATAAAACAGGCTTCTAATATGAGAATTTTAACATCAAACTTTAATCACAAATCTATCATTTTTAGTTGATTGAGACTGGAATTTACAAGAATTCATATCTACTTTTACGAACTTGGACTTAAAGTGTACACTGTCTTGTTATTTTTACCTGTCACAAATAGCAAAATTTATTATTTTAACACAACTACATTTTGTATTGAACCCATTTTATGGTTTCCTTAACTCCATTGTTTAAAAACTCCTTTGTGTGATCGAAACGTCTGACGTTTAAACAATAATCTTTTTATTTGATGTATTAAACACTACATATATTTCACACATAACGTCTTGTGTTGACTCCTATTGGCCAATTCAGTCTGTTGGTCTTTCTTAATTTCCATTAAACAACGATGAATGTTTCTCGGTCCTATTTAGATATAAATCAAATTGAAATTTAAACGCCCATTGAATTAGGACCTAGGCGAGGTGGTGGCCATTAAATAGCTTAGTGAATCCATATACCGTATTTTTCCTACTCTGTACTGTGCGCCGTTACTATCGGACATATAACACAGATTTTCCCCTCGGTAGGATCATTCTCGTCAGTGAATTCACATGTTCTAAAAATCGCAGAGATAAATTCACTAAGCTATTTAATGGCCACCACCTCGCCTAGGTCCTAATTCAATGGGCGTTTAAATTTCAATTTAATTTCCATTGTTTAATTGAATTAACGACACATTGAGTAAAATTGAACAGCGTAGACTGTCTTGGACGTCTTTCGTTAAAATAAAACCCGGTAATATTTCGAGACATTTCGTACACTGGAAATAATCGTTTCACCTTGCGGCGCAGCGGAGATATCGGATACCTCGCGGTATTGGCGGCACCGAGCATCCATAATCGGGGATATACGCCGATGAATGCATCGCGCAAATTACCGCAGGCGGGTTTCCGACTAAAAGCACTTTGTCCCCCGTCAGGCGAATGCCGCGGATATCTACTTTGTTCCGCGAAACGCGCGCGTCTGATCCATTATTCAAAATGAAGAGAGCTGCTGCCAGGCCATCTGGCGAATGGCATCGCAGCCGTTACGAGAGGCTCAAATATTAATCCGCTGTTATTTTTTCGAGACTTCCGCTACGTTAATACGTTAATCGTATCTACGTGCGCGTCGAGACTTGCCGGCGGGACCGAAAGCGAGGAGCAAGATCCACGCGGAGAATCGCGATAATATTAAAAATTAGCAAGGACACCACTGAAATATTACACAAAATTAAAAATCCATTATTACATTACTAATTTGAAGCGTTATACACAGAGATTATTTTTTCTTAAAATTTACCCTGAAAACCGTGGGACATGGCACTTCGAGAAATTTTATAAGTTCTTTGAAATTTGACCATACATTTTACTAGCAGAATGTACTCTCTAAAAGTCAATCACTGAAACGAGTTATGAGTATAGCACTAAATTATTCAGTGAGTCAGCGAATATTCACTGTTTTCAGTGATAATCCACTGACTGACTTTTAGAGAATGTGGTAAAACTTCAAAACAGTCGTAAAGGTCTTCAAAATTCAATTGAATTGAATTTAATTTATTGCTGCAAAATGAGATACGGTGAAAGAAAAAAGTATTGAAAGACCGAGCAAGCGAAAGGTGAGTCACCAACAGAAGTTGTTGTTACAAAGTCTACCTGCTGAAATTTGGTATAAAATAAAGATTGAAGTGTATAAAACCAAAACACGCTACGCAACAACATGTACAGAGAAAAGTCCCCTATTAGGCTTCTAATGTGAGATAGCAGGTTTTCAACGCCCAAATTCAATCACAAATTTTTCTTCGCGACGATTACGCGATCTAACAATGAATCTTCCACTAAACAGACTTCGTTCCAATGGCAATAAATTCATGGTTGAACCAATAGATGAGGCTTGTTAATTTAATAGAAACCCCGCTATCTCGTATTAGGAACTTGTCCCATAATGGGGGGGGGGGGACTTTCTTCTATACAGGGTGTCCCACTTTAATGTCCCACCCAAATAACTTTTTTATATTTGTATTGAAGTAGGTCAAATGCATAGCGTCAATAAATATATACTTCGAAGCCCTACAATTTTTGTATGAAACATTTTTTGGTAAAACGTCACGTTTCCGAAATAATCGAGTGTCCCGACCTTTTTGTTACACTCTGTATAAGCAACGACGTATATCAGCAACGCTGATCAAGAGAAAAGGCAGGCGATGTAATATAAGTTGAGGAACGAATAGAGGCGAGAGAGAAGGATAATCTGAAAATGCCACGTTGTCCCACGATCGCACGATTTTCAGGGTACATTTTAAGAGAAAATCCTCTCCGCGTATTACTGCCAATAATTATTATTGTATATCATAAAACCATGTTACATCTACCACACTGTTTCTAATTAAAATTGTTCGAGCCAGCTTTATATAACCGCGTAAGAAGAAATTGTTATCTATTCAAGCGCTGCGGTTTTAGCGCGAATATCCGCGCGCGCGTAAATAGCTGCGAATCATTCGCGTTGTACTCCGAGAGCGGGTTTTTTCATTTCCTCGCATCCCGCAAATAGTCCGAACTCGTTTGATTTCTGAGAAGTTCGCGCGCGCACGCGAGAGGCGGTTTAATCAGCGCCGGAGAGAAAACAATCGCGGATCGACCAGTCGAACGAGCTCTCGAACGCCAGCGGCGGGAAACGTCGCGCCGCGACACCCGGTATATACGCGAGTTTCTTCGCGGCGGGGCACGGCGGATCAAAGAATCAATTTAAAGGCGGTCGCTCGGCGTCGTGTATGTGTACATACATCATCACCAAAAACAATTTCGCCTTATTAAGAGCCCGAGGACTGTGAGGCTGATGAGTTAACGAGCCACCGGCTCGTTCCTCGTACGCGCTATGTACCGGGTATTACGCGCGCGACCACATTATACTCGCCGCTCTCGGTCTACGGCGTTAAAGAGTTGGAAAAGGAGAGACTTGCGGCAGTCTCGTACGCGTCTTACGCGCGTCGATGATTCTGATAACGTCGACGAGAGTCGGCGCGCGCGGATTAATCCGCGACAAAAATTTTCGTGTCGACGGTAAATTAAGAGGAACGCGGCGCGCAAAGGTCTCTCTCGCCGCTCGCGTTCGGCGTTAAAGTTTGCTGACGCCAAGTTTTGCGCGGAATATTACACTGTACGTACGCCGGTAAGGACTTTGAAGTCAAAAAAAGCGGGATTTAGCGGAAAATTTCTTCGCGTTCGGTGCATTTGACGCCGCAAGAGAAAAGGGCAGTCTATTATTTGGCTACATTTTGCCGAGAATAAAAAGTTAAGTCATTTCGAATTTTTTATGTACTTAAGAAGAAAGTGTGTCTTAACCAAAACGTTGAAAATACAAGATACAGCAGGTTTTCATTTCCTTGTTAAGTGTTAACCAGAGGTTAGAGTCGATTCTGTCTCTTCTTGGATAACAACATAGAAAAAGATGGAGAGTCGACTAACTTCTGGTTAACAGCTAACCGGAAAATGAAAAACCGGGCCTAATAGTTATACGTCGAGCTTTGTCTAATTTAAAAGAAAAACAAAGCCATATACAGGGTGAGTCGTAAAGACTGTCCCAACGAGTTAATTTTTTCTCGAGAAATGTAATTAGATAGTTACAAGTAATTAGATAGTTAGATAATACATGGTTGAGACATGTAGAACGAGATTTAATCCATTTTTCCCGAGTTAGCTACAGTTGCGGTCGGTAATTCACCTCTTATGGTAAACGGTTGGGACAGTCTTTACGGCTCACCCTGTATATGGTTTATTAGTTAATTTTCCAAGGAGTTGAAACATACTAAATAAATTATAACGGTACGTCCGGCGTATATAGAAAAAAAAGGTATATTTTCACTGCAAACGTTATCCTTAAATGTGGTTAAAAAGTTAGCGGACATTTGCTCGCCATTCGACGCTAAAGATAGCCCGCGCTCGGTCCTGCAAAAGTAATGCGTTGTGCACACAGCGTGTTGTCGCCGAGAGCTCGTAATCGGAAAGTCACGGAGCGCTAAATTCGCGGCGAGAATACGAGCCGATGAGGTCTACCTGGGACCTACTTTCCAAGTTTCCTCCCGTTGGCCGTTCGTGGATCTGCTTTGCGACGCAAATCAGATCGATTTGCAGACCTAGGCGGCAATTAGCACCGCGTGCGTGCCGTGAATCCCACTTTGGTGCTGCAGCGTCATGGAACGTGCTGCCGGCACAGTGCTAAGTGCACGCGCGGGTCCTCCGCGTTTGCGGATTCTTTTAAGAGCGCGCGGGAAGGAAGGAAAAGGAGGACCGCCTTGCGCGCGGAGACGAAGAATCCGGGGGGGGGGGGGGACACGACGAACAAGTGGAAGCCTCGCGCGAGAAATTATTCGCGTCGCGCGTTTCGCGGGATTACGCAAGGATCGAGCCAGTGTCGGAGAATAGCCCGTGATTAATTATTAAACGAACGCGAGAGAGTGAAGTCGCCGCTCGGCGACGCGGGATAACCGATGGATTACATAAGACCAGTTAGCGTTAATCGAAGACGTCGTGTGTAGATTGGATAGAATGAACGGGAATGACTTAGAAAAATAACTTTCCTCGCGCGCGATGTCGCGCGGCGTCTCGACGGTGCGCAGCCGTGCCATTCCTGACTTGGACGATCGAAACCCGTGCATTCCGATCGAGATCGAGAAAAAGATGTCCTATTTTCATCTCCCATCTCCTCTCTCCGGAGCCTCGAATAATTCTAATTAATTTTCCACCTTTTGCGCAAACAGTTTTACAATTCTCATCGCCGGCTGCGAAAGGATCTGGGACATTATCGGCGAGATGCCGCGTCCCAGACGTCCGCGATTTGAGAAACACTGCGCTGTACCATCCACAACGCATCAACTCGCATACTACACGCCGTACGTACCTCGGAGTTGCTGGTGGCGACGCTGGACAGACCCGGGGACATGGTGCCGGTGGTAGTAGGGTCCGGGCTCGCCGAGACCACCGTCGGGTTACCTGGGTGATGCGGCAGCAGTGCAGGGGCGTGCGGATACGAGGCGAGATGAGGATGCTGCGGCTTCGGGTGATGCAGCTGCGGGCCGGGCGGTGCACTTTGCACCACCATCGGGACGGGTGGCGGCCCGGCGTCGACCGGCGTCCTGCCGCCGCCCTCGCTACCGGCGCTGCCGCTGACGACCGCATTGCCGGTACCGCCTCCGCCTCCGCTGCTACCGCCGTCGCCCTCGCCGCCGCGAAATGACTCGTGCAGGTATTGGCGCACCTGGTTCTTCTGCTTTTGCACGACGTGATAGCGAGTCGGGTTCTCCAGCAGCGTGCGCACCTGAAGAAAAGCGGCACATCGCGACGTTACTCTTTTATTTCCAGACGAGTGCGAAACTGCGATAATCAGAGAATCGACCGAGTCTCCCGCGCGCAGCAATTAGCATTGTTACCTATCGCGGAAATTTCCTGGTTTAGCAAATTTATTATCGTATTAATAATGTAATAGAAATAATTTTAAACAGACGAATAGGAAGAACGAAAGCGTATCTTTTTATAGACGACATAAATTTCGGTTAATATTTCTAGTACGAAACAAAAATCGAGGGGAAATTAAGCTGAGATACATTAACATCTAATTGTAAGCAATATCTTTTCTCGGTCTATTAGCTTTTTAACCCCAGAACGTGCACATGGGCCTCGCAGATACATCAAGGTCACATAGAAAACTAGTTGTTTTTGTTATAGTCTTTAGCTTACAATATCTATATGGAAAGATGTTTTAAGCAAATTGGAAATTACCATAAATACATGTTAAAAACTTTTAATAATTTTTTTAAATCCATAACGATTGGTTTAAAATAATGCACGCTACAAAAGAAATTACAAAGCCGAAAGATCCCCGATTTATATTTTCAGCGCCAAATCGGGATCTATCGCGTGATTTAAGGCAAGTTAAAACTAAAATGCTTATAAGTGAATAAAAGAATGAAATGAAAAAAATGAATCCATAATTGAGAATTCACAAGAATATATGTATTTACCACAGCGCTAATAAAGAAAAGGTGAGATCAAAACATCATCCTGTATCTCCTGGAAAAAGCTGCGTGACGAGAACATTATCGCGTTCGACCTCCCGCGAACGCAGCAACCATATTGCGTGAAGCTAATTGCAAGGTAAACCATCGACAACTCTCGTGCCTCTTGCCTCTCATATCCTCTTACCAACTAACCATTACTTTGGGAGGTCTAACAGTATAGACACGGTGTACCGAATAGATCTATTAACGACGCTACAGAATTCGGCTCGCCTTACTGCGATACGGCAAACTACCGGAACCTCACAACTATAAGGTATCGTTATCTTAGCCGCGCCCGCGCCCTCCCGTATGTATATCTATGTGCATCGAGCTTTAAGCGACGGAAACGCAAACAACGGTAACCGAATGCTTGACCCTCTACGCTACTTGGATAACAAGACCCTCTATGTGGGAAAACCCCATCGCGTTGGACCCAGGATACTTCGGTACTTACGCCAAGTTCTAGTTTCAACGTGCGCCCCAGTTTTGATACAAAACATCAAATACAGGGAAAATCAGAGGAAGAGGCTAAGAATGTCGGCAAAGGGTCGCAGCACGTTCAGTCGTAGTTTATCCCAAAATGTGTAATGCATTATTTAATTTACATACAGACGTATGTCTAAAATGAATTATTAATTAATATGGAATATGTATATGTACACAACAATATGCATACAGAATACAATGCGGCGCTGTACACCGCATAATAATCGCTCGCGCGATGGGAACGAGTAATCACGCGATTCATAATGCGCCATGATGTAATAAAGCTGGGAATTTAATTTGATATAATAACGTGATATTGCGCGGGGGAAAATAATTTTATCGCGCCGCGCGATTTCGGGCGAGCAATTTAGCATCGATCGCCCAGATCGGACGACGCACGAAGGCGACACATACTTGTAATACTTGCGGTGGAACATCCACGCCGATAGTGGGCAACGGCGTAGGCGGCACTGGTCTGGGCGGTGCGGCAGCTGGCCTCTGCTGCTGCAAGCTCTGCCGGAATTCCGCCTGCCGCCTCTCCTGCTCCTGCAGCTGCTCTCGCATCAGCTGCAGCTTCAATTGCGTGCGCGACGTCGGCGTCGCTGTTTTGAACGTCGGCGGACTGAAAAAAGCCAATATTTCCTCCACGTAAGACTTTATCCGGGACTCTCCTCGCTCCGCCGCACTTTCGCCATTTATTACAACCGCGCTAACTCGCGCACAAAAGTACCCGTGTCTTCGGCGAGACAACGATCGTCACTTTAATCCGTTTAGTTACAAGTTTCCCCTCTCGAAACCATCGGGAGTCAAATTGTTGAGGTAATTCAATTAACGTTTTCAAACGGTTCGCCACGAAAGTATCACGGTAAAAAATTGCTGAAGGGGATGCTGGATACCGGCATGCAGTGTGGCACAGCTATCTTCGAATTGGTTTTACAGAATTAGAAATCCTTTTATATACTTAACGTACCGAAATATTATACAATACATTGCAGACTGGTCAGTTTAAGACTAAGAAAGAACAAAAATTATAAAATATTTTTTGCTGTTGCACGGAAAGCTGTCAGTTTCAAAGGAACGTTCGCTTGTATACAAATTATACAGGGTGAATCATTAAGGCTGTCCCAACCTTTTACCATGAGGGATGGATCATCGACTGCAACTGTAGCCAACTCTGGAAAAAATGGAAAAATCTCGTTATATATGTTCCAATCATGTAATATCTAATTATATCTCTCAAGATACAATTAGGTTTAACATGATTGAGACATATATAGCGAGATTTTTCCACTTTTTGCCGGATTGGCTACAGTTTCGGTAAGTAATACATCCCTAACGGTAAAAGGTTGGGATAGCCTTAATGATTCACCCTGTATAACTTATTTGCACAAATCGAAAGCAGTCTGTAATTCGGATTAGATCAAAGAATAGCGTCGAGTCAGTAAAATTAGATTAGGTCTAATAAAAAAGATTACCGAGGAACTTAATTTTATGTCAAAACGCATATCTTTACACCCAAAGTGTAGTTACAGAATGACAAACTATAGGTGCCAGATCTTGCAACAGATGGCGGTACACTGTGTTAAACAAGAATATATATCTCATGAATATCTCTCTGTTCTTGTCTCTTTCGTGTTGTGTATGTATACATGTTTCCAACACATCGTTATATGTCCTGAAATTATCGATAATTTCGAAGTTTAGCCGTAACTTCAGCTCCAGGACCACCTTAATAGAGATATCCATAAAAAGATTCTTTTGCTACTTGACGAAGTGCTATTATTGTTTGCGTAAATTTTCGTAACACTCGTGCAAATGTGCTTCTCGGTAAAACGAGCATTATCCCGTTATCGTTTCGAGTCTTCTATCGAGGTACTGACAAACATTATTCAGTTGTTCGGAACGAGACTCGATCATTTACGACGCGCGTTTGTGTCGATAAACGCGAGAATACTCAACATTGTCAGCTGAGCGAACGCATCGAGTCCCAAGTCCGAGGCGAGACCAATTAATCTCGTAGCGCAAACACTATTGAATCGAACTATCTTCGCGGCGACGAGAAGAAACCCTGTAAAGCCAATCGGTACAATTCGCGACGGCCAGCTAGATAAGTCATTATTGACGAATATGTAGACGCGACAGACAATAGACAAATCAGAATAGTTGAAATAATTTTTAAGAAATGTCGATATTACATGTTTTGTTTGATTTTGAGGAATAGTTGTGTTAAAAGAACTCAAAATAATATTCATTTTTTAAATAACGTACATAAAGTGACAAGTTATTATGTTAACATAAATATAACACACAAAAGTGTTACGAAAATAATAACATGTATGTTTTATGTTAAGTTTACATTGAAGTAAGAATCAAATCTTGGTAACACAAGAAAATGTTAACATTTAAACATACGATTTTTTACTGCGTAAGATAAAAAATAGATTTATTATGAATATTTTGCAGCCTATCACGATATACGAAAAGATACTTTTTCAAGTTGATTCGTTCAGACGACTAGACGGGAACGTTCTTTATTAATGTTCCAACTGCCTTACCGAATGGCGTTAGAGAATTAATGGTGCCATGATTCGGACGTAAAGTCGAGTGATGGTATTACCCAGTCTTGGCAGCGTTGCTGCGATTCGACGATATTCGCGCGCAAAAAAAACGCGCGGAATTTCTCGAATTCGCGAATAGCAAAACGGCCACGTATACAGCGTAAGGCGCATAATTTATTGCGAATCGGAAGCCAATAAAATGAGAGCAGAATTTTCTTTGAACTCGAGGGAAATGCCGCGAGCATGAGTTTTGCGAACGCGCAGAGCGAATCGTCGCATATTTCGCCTCTATTTCGATTGACATCGGCGCGAATCAAATTTCTCACTCACGCACTATTAGCATTAAGAGCAAATATGTCATAGAGACGCATGCCAGGCGTTTGTTTCACTGCCGCGGCTAAAGGACACTTCCAATGCGGGAACAAAGCCAAGATCTAGTCATAGGAAAGCCAAAATAGAGAGAGATTGTGCAATCCGGATCGAACATTTGTTTCTGTCGCTCGAAGCAATCTTTCTTTCTCAATGTATCGCATTTATCGTATCACAGGTATAGCAAATAAGTCCAACACGATAAGAAAACTGAGGGTGACATAAAATTGATCGACAAAGATAATTAATTTTGCAATTGTCAAGTTACTCGCAAGATATCTTGCAGATTAATATACGTAATTGTTCAGGTATCTTAGGGCCTGATTCTTAAGTCACGAAACATTTATTATGCGTTTAATTTCAAAAACACGATTTCTTTACCGTAACCGAAAAATTATTTGATTGAGACTGGGATTTCTAAGAGAATTTATATTCTATTTCTTCAAATATAGCCAGAGATGTTTTAGTGCAAGTAAATAAAAATTTTGTAGATTCAAAGAAACATCATCTCATTTGTTTAACCTAACTAAATCTTTTTTCTGGGTGTAATGCGACACTCCGAATGAAAATAATGGAAAAATAGAAATCGTTTTTTTCCTTATTATTAAAATATTGTTAGACAGAAAACATAGAGCGAGTATTCGATAAATGTAGACCGCGAGATTTTACGAGGCTACGATCCAATTGAAGACTTCAATGATTGCCTCGTAAAAGTAGAATTTATCAAGTGAACAGATTTTACATTAAATTTTTAGAAGAGCAGTCACGCGCGCTTCTTACGTTGCCACTGGATAAGAGTTAGAATAAATACGTCGATAGCGGAACTTTAGAAATAAATGCTTAAGACAGCTAAATGACGAAACTTTGAATTCGAGATTCGATCTTGCAGCTAATGGCGAAACAGAAGCTTCGTCTACAAAGGCGAGGAAGACACTGAATATTCGAGCGAGTCTTAAATTCAAAAGCCGTGCGTCTTTGTGCGATTACGAAATTAAAAATTCTTCCGTTTCCAGTCGCGCTACGAGAACTGCCGTAATAAAGCTGTTACAACTTTTATAATAGTAGTACCGGCTGACTCGTGAAAGGCGATTTAATCAGAACATCGACTTTCCCCGGAGACCATTAAAATGTCTTACGAATTTTTCTATCGCCCAAGAGACGGACTCGCTTTTCCCTCGTAGTATTCTTGTTTTTAAAAGCTCCGACCTTTTCATCAACATGTTTATGGAATTTTGTTAAAATTAATTAAAATTATAATTTCTGGTTTTTTTCTCAGTATCATTAAAAGGTTATCTTTCGCGATGCAAATATTACGAGTAAAGACGTGTACCTCCACTTTACTTTCATTTTCATTAAATTTCTAATGAAATGTGTGTCAAAGAAGTTTGATTATACCAATGTTTTTTCTGCAACGCTGCTAAGTAAATTCCTCATTGTTTGTCAGTATGAATACGAAATAAGCGGCCAATATAATTAATGGATTTAAAGAAATAAATGGCGAGAAGAGAGTCACGATGGAAAGTAAGAATCAGGTCTTACCAATGTTGGCTGAGTTCGCCAGAAAACTCGCGACCGATTAAGAGACGGAACGAAAATACCCTGATGGAAGATTGGAAAAGTTTCTGATGAAAAATTTTCTGCGGGTAAGGTCGAAGTTGAAATGGAATTGGATACTTTCGTTCCTTTCGGATAATCGTTGTATTGATATCTGGTGGAAAAGTCGAGTGCCCGCGATCTCGATCGTGCGTGCTCTTGATTACAGCTGTTCGTATTGTTTCAACGCCGCTGTATCAAATTTCATTTGCTCGTTACGCCATTAATTAGGAAACTTAATATCGCACCTAAACGAAACCTGCTATTAAAAATCGATATAGCTAAATTGCTCTTGTTAAAACCTAATTAAATGCATCCTTAGCCAGGAGTTTAATTATTTTCGAATGTCGCGGAGAACTTTCGTAATTGCAGATAGATAGATCGTAATTTTGTCGTAGGCGACAAAATTTGGTTAATCGAACTTTTTGTTATTTAAATGATAAAAATCCTCAATATTCTACTGTGACACTTATTAATTATGTCGTGAAGTAACAACAACAGCAAATCCACCTGCCACAATCGGAAGCTCACGCGAGTCCAGGCGATGCTCGACTCATTGTATAATTCTCGTTATCGCTCAGAAACGGTGCAATCACATCGGTTCGAAATGCGCTCGCGAAGGGTCCTGCGGCAAGCTTGACTTTTTCTAAACAGTCGACGGATCGAAGGTGGCCCACGGCGCACTCGTACATTTCTCTTCGCGATATTGGATATTGGACGGCCGAAAATAATTTTCGACCGTACGCTGGACCATTAATTCTCCAAGGTCACGTACGACTCTGCTCGAGCAATACCCGCGCCAGTTTCTCTCGGCGTACTATGGTGTCGCACTTTTTGCCGGCGGGCCTTTATACGCGTCCCGCTTAAAGAAGCGAGGAGGGAAACGACCGTAATACTGAATTTAGTGCTTATATAAAGAGCGACGGAGGATCGCTTATGGCAGCTTCATGCAAATGCGCGCGAACCCTCTCCGATCCTCCTTCTTACTCACTGTCTCTCTATATGCGCCGTGGCACGTAAAGAGGGATTCCTGCAAGAGAATCCTGCCGAAAGGATTCTCAGTAGCGAGAGTAGTAAACGTGATACCCCATCCCCCCCCCCT